TTTTCTTCCCTATTTCAACATGTGTTCCTAATCTGATTTTTGATAGGTTGGACTTTTTTTTGATAGGTTGGACTGACAATGATGTGTATATTTATATAGCATGCAGTTTGATGCTAATCCTTAGAGGAAGGGAACTGTGCTTAATCTTTTACAAAATGAGTATTTTGTCACTAGTCACATTCTGTAAAAAAAAAATTAACTCAATGATCACAACATGTTATTTCTCATAAAATAATTAAGATTTTCTGCATTGGTTTATCCATGTTAAAAATTGTACTGCTACATCAGAAACTAACCCATATAAAATGACCATCAGATAATATTAACTATGGTGTTTTGTTTTGTTTTTCTTTTTTGTGCCAAGTCAGTTTTTGACTCATGGTAACTGTGTGAACAGGTCTCTGTAGTTTTCCTGTCACTATTTTCAGAAGTGCTTCACCTTTGCCGCCTTCCTAGGGCTGAGAGAGTGAGAAAGAGTGACTGGATCAAGGTTAGCCAGATGACTTTGTGCCTGACAGGACTAGAACATGCTAACCAGATATATTGGCCTCAAAAACCCAATATTCTAGTCAGTCAGTTGATCATATATCAAGAACAGGACACTGGAAAAGACTAGAATAGTTACTAAGTTCATCTTCAATTGGAAATTTGCTAAAACAAATAAATGAACACCAGTAACCTCGGAGCCAACAGGAAATCCCACACAAAGAATTTTAATATGAGGCTTACCTCAGATAAATGTTGTAATATCCAAACCAGTCTTAAAGAGACATGCTGTGTCGTAAAACTAAAAGAACGGGCTAGCAGAAGTTTATTAATCCGAGTGAAAAAGTGCAGCAAAGAAGAAAAACCATGGACTGCCTGTTTGAAAACAAGATTCATAGCATGAACATTTGAGCTTCTGCCCAATTAGATTTAAATCAAGTTATATTTATTTAGGACAACACAGTAAATGAAATGTATATTTTGACTTGAATCCAGAATAAACAGTACATTCTGGAAAGTTTGCAAAATTGGCTGCAGTTTCACAGAAAATACATAGCTTTGGGGTTGTTCTGCATTTCAGCAAAGACAAAATCCAGAGGATCCCTTACCTTTCTTTGCACTGACTCATCCAGTTCCCCATCTTCCCAGTATTTTCCATTCCCGCATTCTATAGAAAATGTGTTGGCCCATATACCTGCTTCCCTACTACAGTGGTCTCAGCAGTTCAAAACACCATCTCTAATTGGCCTACCTGCTCCCAATTTTTGGATCTTTTCTTTGCAACCTTCTCTCAGCTGCCACAAAAATATATTGGATGTATATCTTGCATCAGTTGTTTCAGCAGTAAGAAGCAAGTTTTATTGGCATGTCCTATGAGCATGCCGATTGCTCAAATCAGCTGCACATTTTATACATTCTTAATATTCTTAGTAGCATATGCTTACAGCTTAGTGGACTGTGTTCAGATACAAAGGCAAAAAATGATTTATTTATGCCTTACTTCATTGCTTATATAGTGGTTATCTGGACCTGTATATAACATTTTCTGTCATGCCAGTCCAAAATAAGTTTTGTTGTTCAGAATTCCAGCAAGAAGCAAGTTGGACAGACAATTTTCTGGTGAGTAGGACTAGACCACAGTCTGACTGTTACCAGTCTTTGTGTACAGGGGATCAAGAGAGAACACTGAAAAGCAAGAATGTATTTTACTTCTGACTGCTAAGAAGGAACTCCATTTTGAATACTGCTCATATTATAAACTTGCCACATACAGAAATCAGAGCAGAAAAAGGTTATACCCCAAGAATTTGCCAGGTATGCTATTTTTCCACATGAAAGTAATTTTTAACAAATGTCATTTTTAAATTAAAAAATAACTTTATTTCAGTGTTTCAAAACCAATCTGAGTATATAAGAAACAATCCCAGAACTTTTTTAACAGCAGAAGTAAAAATTCATCTGCATCCCCCCCACTAATACAGGCAGCCCTCGACTTACGACCCCAATTGAGACCAACATTTCCATTATTAAGCAAGAGAGTTGTTAAATAAGCTTTGTCCCATTTTATGACCTTTCATGCCATAGTCATTAAATGAATCATTGCAGTTGTTAAATTGGAAGCAATGTTGTTATGGGAATATGGCTTCTCCATTGACTTTGTCAGATGGTTGCAAAAGGTAATCACATGACCCAGAGACACTGCAATAGTCATAAATATATGCAGTTGCCAAGTGTCTGAATTTTGATCACATGACCATGAGGATGCTGCAACAGTCCTAAGTCCCCTTTGGTGCCATTTAACTTCAAAAATAAATGGTTAAGTCAAAGACTACCTGTACCAACATTTTCATTCAGGGAATTTGTGGCTAAGCTTATTTTACCAAATCTGCGTATTTCCAAATCTAATAATAAAGACCAAGATATATAACATGCTAGGAGATTCATGGCTAATTGCCTCTCCTAATCTTGTAGTTTACAAAAGGCAGCTGTGGAAGAGAGGACCTACTTGCCATTTAGAAAAGGAGAACTGAAAGAAAAAATCAAAGATTCTCACCTATGACATTGCTTCTTTCATAAAAATACAGGTAGGGCAGCTCTAACTTACTTCTCTCATCTGCAAATCATTAGACATCTCCTAACCCATTGGTTTAAATAAGTAACAACCAAATACCAGCCTTCCTTCAACCAACTTACTTTCAGCACAAAGAAGTATCTTACCTTCATTAAAAAAGATCTGTTCCAGGATTTAACAAGGTTAGCAGCTCTCACATCTTGCCAACTTATGAAATTATGAAAAGGTTTCCCTGTCTTTCTGGAAGAGCAAAAAGGGATAATTGACTTTCCAATTGTTTCACTAATGTTATCTTTTAGTTCAGTAACAGAGTTTGGATATTAGCTTTAAATAGATTACAGATTAAAAAAATGTAGCAACAGAATCAAAGAAATGTGCAAGTAGATGGGATCACAAAATTCAACTAGTAGTTCAACCCTCTACAATATGCAAAAAAGTCCATAAACAAATAAACCATGTTCAAAAGGCAGTTGTCTAGCTCTTCTTAGAAACTGCTGTGAATTGATCATTTGTGGTTATAAAGATCTTACAATCAGGAAATCTTTTTAAGTGAAATGTAGGTATTTGCAACTTGGGACGTTGTTCGTTTTTTGGCCATCAAAAAGTTTTCACTGACCAATGAGTTTCACACACCAGCAGATTACATTTTCTTCTTTAGACTATCTTGTGCTTCCCCTCCCCCTGTCAAATGGGGCAAGATTGTAGCTATTGATTGATGGCTGATAATTACCTCTGCAAATTAATATCATCACACTGTAATCATTGCAACTCATTATGTCCATAATGAAAAAAACCAATTGGCCAAGAGATTTTAACATTAACTGGGTGTGGAGCCTTTTGAAACTGTTGAAAGGACTGTCTTGTAGACTGGAGATAGATGATGTTGTATCCCTCCTCCTCTGTTGAGAGAGGGCCATTCAATTTTGACATAGATGGCCTCTCTGACTCCTCTTTTAAACCAGAGTCCTCTCTGTCCAAAATGTGGGCTTTTCTGTCTTCAGAAAAATGGCATTTGTCTTTTAAATGCATATGGACTCCTGAATTTTGTCCTGATGAGAAGAAAAACCAGAAAGTCCAGTTGTCTCTTGAAAAAGCGCCTTTGGGACAACCATTACCTGGATGACTGAGAATCTCCACACACATCTAACTAGTACCAATTATTTCTTGTCCTCATATTTGTGACAATAGAAAACAGTTTCTGACAATCATCTCAATGGACTTCAATACTGATACCATCTCTAGTTTCAATCTTCTGTTCTCCAGCTACATCATGCCAAGTTTCATTGGCTTGTTGCTAAGACCTTGTTTCATCTCTTTTGCCTTCACCCAATCTGTTCTAGTCAATGTCCTTTTGGAAATGGTGCCCAGAATCTTTCACATAGTCCTAAGGTATGGTCTTCACAGTGCAGCTTTGAGAATGTTTCTTGTAATGCTGCCCAGAACTTTAACATAAGTGTCACTGTTGTCTCATGTTCAGCTCACTGTCAATGACCAAACCCAAGTCCTTCCTCAGTGTAATGCTTCTAAGCCCTTTCTTGTATAATGCCATGTATCTTCCACATCTAAATACAGTACTTTACATTGTTCCCTGTTGAAGGATATTTTGTTCATAGCCCAGTTTTCCAAACTGGGCAGTTCAGATTGCAATATTGTTTGATCCTGGTTACTGCCTAGATTTCCTAATTGTGTTTCAACTGCAAACCGGATGAGCAAATTATCCATTTAAAATTGTTGACTAATATTGGGCCAACACAGAGATCATTACTTGTCTCTCACTCATTATGGAGCTATAAATGCTGACTGGAGTGTGGTTAGCTAGTTAATTATGGACTCATTTTATTGCAGCACTATCCACTCATACCAGTATAGTTTTTTATCATGTCAAAGAAAAGAGATAAGATTTGTCTCGTCTATTTTTGACAAAACTATGCTGACTTTCAGAAAGAAAGCATAGTCTTCATTTTGTCTACAAATGGCCTGCTTTATTATCTACCCTTTAGCATATTACAGATATTGAAGTTAGGCTTACTGTCAATTATTATGTTAACTTTATTTTTCTTTTCTTAATCCCGGGTACTCTATTTACTCTTTCTCTATCCTGTAACACTTCCCACCCCGATCCTCGAAGATAACTGACATAAGTTCAAGTCCTAATAATGCTTCAGTCAGATCCTTCAGTATTTTAAGTGTATTTCCTTAAAACGTGGGGACCTGAAGAGGTTCCAATTAGTTGAAATGCTGGATTTCAGGGAAGTGTTGGGCTTTAGTGACTATGCTCTACACAACAGCTTTTCTGTTGTGACATGAAAGCCTAACTAGTAGATTCAAAGTAGCTATTTGGAGCCTTCTGTTGTTTGTTATTAATTTATGCTACTCAAATCATCATTTCCTTTGGAAAGAAAAAGTCAAAAACTGGAGTTCTCACACTTTCTCTTAATCGTGTTAGGATCTCTGTTTGGAGTAAGCCATAGCTTTACACCTTCATTGATTTCCTCTTGCTACTGACATATATGAAGAAATCCTCCTTATTTCATTTTGCCTCACTGAATACCTTTAGCTTTCCACCTTTGCCTTCCTGACCTTACGCCTAATTTCTGAGCAAAACCATGGGAAGACTTCTTTGAATGTTAATCCTTTATTCCACTTTAAAAAAGCACTCTTCTTTAATCTCAAACTCCTTCGTGAGCTGCCTATTCAGTCACATGGGCTCCATTGCCATTATTTGAGATTAAGCCATACTTCTATTTCCAAGAAAACTCAACTAGTGACAAAATCTTTGTCTTTTGTTTTGTTCCTATGCATTTTCTTTACTATTTCAATTATTAAAAATAACATTTCTAAAATCCATACTTTGTATTTGACTTGTTTAAACCAAATTTTTGCTAAGATCAACGCATATCATGGTCAGTTTTTTAAATCTATTCAATCAATGACTTCCTGTCAATAAGGACAAAATTTAAGGAACAAATTGCCTTGTGTTTGTCTAATCGTTTGAAAGATATAATTATCATCAACACAGAGCAAAATTAATCTGACAGAATTAACTTTCCTACATATGTCTAGGTAGTTTAATTCTTCACCAAACAAGCTTCATTTATCTGAGGCTTGTTATCTGTTTCAACAAATCATCTATCTATTCTATGACCTGTATCAAACTTCTAGGAAAAATCAATTCCCACCCTTTATTCTAGCCTAGATACTTTTATCTTGTCCTGTTATCCTTTGCCTGGATTCCTGAAATGCAGCATTGTATTTCTTCCTGTCCTGCATTTCCTGTTTCTCTGAAGCAAGCTATATTCATATTTATCCCACGTATTCCTGTTAATCCTTACTTGCCCTTACATTTTGTTCAAAAAGAGACCTAGTGGTTAAGGTACCAGGCTAGAAACCAGAAGACTGAGTTCTAGTCCTACCTTAGCCATGAAAACCAGCTAGGTGACTTTGGCCCGGTCACTCATTCTCAGTTCAACTCAACTCAATTCACAGTTGTAGGAAAATAGGAGGAGGAAGGAGTACAAGGTGTGTTCGCCACCCTGAGTTCTTTATAAAAATAAAGAGATTTCTGAGGACGTCTGAAAAACAGTAGCAGATGCTCACCAGGCCAGAAATGGTAATGAATATAAGCAAGGAGTTGGACACCACCGGTCTACTATCAAGAAAATCAAGAAAGATACAGCAACACAGATGATTAGTGGACTGGAGGCTAAAACATATAAGGAACAGTTGCTGGAATTGGGTATGTCTTGTTTGATGAAACATGATAGCAGTGTTCCAATATCTAAGGGGCTGCCACAGACAAGAGGGAGTCAAGCTGTTCTCCAAAGCACACAAGAGCAGGACAAGAAGTAATGAGTGGAAACTAATCAAGGAGAAGCAATCTAGAACTAAGGAAAAATTTCCTGACACTTAGAACAATTAATCAATGGAACAACCTGCCTCCAGAAGTTTGAATGCTCCAACATTGGAAGTTTTTAAGAAGAATTTAAGATATATGATAATCATTTATCTGAAATGGTATATATTTTCTTGCCTAAGCTGGGGGTTGGACTAGAAGACCTCCAAAGTCCCTTCCAACTCTGTCATTCTAAGTACAAATGGAATTCAACATCAGTGTTACCCTCCCCAGGAATGGTCAATCAACTAAGATCACACCAGGAGCAAGGCATAAATTTTCCAAGAGGTTTCAAAGAATCCCAGGAGGGTAAGATATAAGAAAGTAAAGATTATCTTGCATTGATGAATGCTAGTGTTCATCAAACTACCACCAAAAAAGAAGATTGCTGCCCATCTACTGTTTGTGAAAAAGCATGTGTATAAGCTAGAAAACTACTGGAAGAATGTTCTGTGGAAGAAACAGAACTTTTTGTCTTGAAGGAAAAGTGTTATATTTGGCATTCCAGTATAAGAACAGTGCCCCATCTGGGAAAAATGATGGTGGCAGAATCATGGTTTAGACCTGCTTCATTCCTCTGGATCAGGACGCTATGAAATCTGAACAGAAAAAATCTACAGGAAAATGTCAGTGTGTCTGTAAATGAACTGAAACTCAAGAGAAAGAAGTCAAGCTGTAAGGCAACAATCCAAAACACACAAGCCATACAACCAAAGAATAGTTAAAGCAGAAGAAATTTAATGTTCTGGAATGGCCAAATCAAAATCCCGAGCTTAGAAAAACATTGTGAAAGGAAAGGAAACGAACAATTTGTGCAAGGAAGCCCACTAATACTCTGAACTGAAGCTATTCTGTTAAGGAATGAACTAAAGTTTCTCCAAGCCAACATACAGGACTGATCAACATCTGTTGGAAAGGTTTACCTGTAGTTATTACTGCCTGAGAAGAAATTACTGAAAGCAAAAGTTCACATATTTTTGCCACAAATACAGACCTTTGATCATTTTCCTCAATGTACTAATGAACAATAGTGCTTTGGACTTATTTGACTTATTTGACTTTTTTAAAATCTAGTTTTAGAAGTTGTATGGATCACATTGTAGATATGTATGCAGAAATATTAAATTCAAAAATTAAATTACCAACTTTTAAGGACCATTGTATATTTAAAAAGCAAATTTCAAAGCATAATTTTTCAATGTTATTAAAATAACTACAGGGAATTTTGTTTCAAAAGCAAAACTGCTCTTAAAATCTAGGCCCGGGGCAAGAAGACTGAAAACATAGACCAAATAATTCATGATACGTTGATTATTGGATTGTATCTGTTCACGTAACAAATTGGATATCATGCTTGAAAGTAAAAAGAAACCGTGTGTGTAAAAAAAAGCAATATTGTACAGCCAACAATTTAAACACAAGTTTCTCCCTAACTCAAGGTACAGGTAAGGCCTTTATTGTAGTTAGAGATTTCAGAAGTAGGTCTTTATGTTCTTTTCAGTAAATAAGTTTGAAAATTAATACAACTAGTCCACAGATAATGACCACTTGTTTAGCAACTGTTTGAAGTTACAATGGTGTCGAACAAGCTTGCTTACAACAGGCATCAAAGTTCTGGCTGTCCCAACATGCGAGTTTTAGATTACATGATTGAAATCTGGACACTTGGTAACTAGCTTGCACTTATGATGGATGCAGTGTCTAATTTTATTTATCAAATGTATAAAACAGTCCACAGAACAAACAAGACTTATAGCTGAAGAATTAAGGAAAGAAATGTCAATATTTATATTGTTCATAGAAATTTATTTCTGCAACTTGTACCACTACATACCATCTTAATTATACCTCTATCATTTTTTAATTTCATCAGAAAGTATTTTATATAAACACCATAATTATGATAAACAGATTCCCAATTATTTGACAGAATTCACATTAAGGTGTGTTCTTTCTGCTCTCTAAGCAGTTAATATATTAATTAGTTTAATGGAATTAATGGTAAGAATATTTTGGGCAGGCCAGACAGATTGATAACTGCCTTAGTCATGCACTGTTGTTGTAAGATTAATATTGAACATATATTGAAAAAGAACTATTTGAAAGAAACTGAAAAAGCCAGGATGCTGTTAATATTCAACAGTACCAAATTTTATCAATAGACAATACCAAACAATGTAGGAATATGAAAAAAGGTTGAAATAGTAATAGCTTATCATCCTACGTTGAAAACTTACAGGAATGACGGCTATAACTATGAATTAAGAGGTCTCTCATTCAAGGCATACAGACATCCACATTTTTTAATTATCAGGATTAGTGATAATTAGTGATAATAGTGACACCTCTAGCAGAAATTATGTTACATGTTTGGTCACTGCCTGCCCTCATTCCCCAATACGTATGTCTCCTACTTGAGAGAAAGATATCAGAGATCTTAACCAAAAATTAAAATACAGAGATATCACACAGATAGAGATTGTCCCCAAAGACGCTTTTTCAGGAGACAACTGGATGTTCTTGTTTTTTCTTTGAAGACGTTTTGCTTCTCAGCCAAGAAGCTTCTTCAGCTCTGACTCAAAGCCTTTGGGACAACTATGACCTGGATGACTGAGAATCTCTACACAGACAGAGACTACATTTCTCCATTTGTAAAAACATGGTTATGAAAATTGGAATTGGAATGTCAGAAAGGCTGAAGGACAAATTGATGCCTTTGAATACGGGTGCCAGTGAACTGTCATCTACTGAACAAATCATTCAATCATAGAATTGAATGCCCATTGGAAATATTATTATAAAAGGAACTTTTAAGTACTTGGGACACATGATGCAAAGGCAAGAGTCAGTTGAAAAATCCTTGATGATTGAAAAAAAATGAAGGCAACTGAAGAAAAGCCCAATAATATGGTAGCCAAAAATTATCATTGATAATACAAACTTGAGCTTACAAGAACTCAATAAAACACCTGCTGCCTGGCAATCCTACCAAACATTGTTCATTAGATCACAAAGGGTAAAAAGCAACTAAATAATTAAATAACACTTTTGATAGTTGGGTATTTTCAAACTAGAAGACTCCAAGGTTCCTCCCAACCTTGTTATTCCATGTTTCCAATTCCAATATTATAGAATTGATAGAATTCAGCTACTATTTTTCTTATTTTCTCATGCAAAAGTTGTGGCCTAACTTTTAAAGTGGCATTTTAAAACTATTAATTAAAGAATTAACAAAGTGTTTCAGCTGTGTAGGAGTGATATCCTACATTTCATGCATAAACAATTTAACTAGCACCTACCCTGCAAAAAATCATTTATTGAACTTTGTTGAAAAATACAATTTATAATGATACATATATGGGTTTAAAACAAAGGCTAAATAAATTTCATTATTATTTTCAATATCATGAGTGTTAGTAAATAATGCCATAAAGTATTGCTCTAACAAGTGAACTTTATTTATTTTTGAAAGCATCCATACATATCAACAAGCACAGAATGCGGTATCAGTTATAACCTTTATACATACTTGTTCCATGTAATGAAAGTTGCACGTTGTGTTGAAAGTCCAAGAGCAGAGATTTGATTCATTTTAATTCCTGCAACTAAAAGATATATTTATTTTAAAAGATTTGCATGGTTATCCATTCAGATGTGTCACAGAAATAAAACTACAAAACCCATAAAAAGCCTGTGCCTCCATCAACCATTTGTCTGAAAGCTCTACCACTCTATCCCAGTGTCTAGGTAAAGAGCCAGGTTTTGATGCTCTTAATTTAAACAAGAATGTGAATGGAAAATAGACTTTCCAAAGAAATGTAGCTCCCATATGTTGTAAGCTCTTTTTGAAGGCCTTATTTTTAATCTAGGTATTGTGATAGAATGTACACCTAGAAAACTAGTGGGTAGGAGTTTTGGCACTACAGAGCTTTCCCAAGGAGGAAGCAGTAATTTCTAATGGCTTAGAAGGTTATAGCTTTAGTTTCACAAGATTCGGTCCATTAGATAAAAGTAAATAAAGGATCAAATTTGATTGGATTATACTGTGTCATTTTTGAGCTTGAACCTGAACCTCATCATAAAATAAATTCAATATGGCAGTATTAAGTTTTGAAAGAAGAAATTAATATGCTTGCATGATTACCTTGAACTGCTTCTTTAATCACATTAATGAACTGGGTCCACAGAGTTTCAGGGTCTAATTCAACCCAACCGGGCTGAGGATGAAGAGCCTCTACCTATTAAGGGAAACACAAGTTTACCAAGATTGTAGATGTTAATGATCTTGATGAAGACTACAAAAAAGCATCTTCACATATTAAAAGAATTAAAGTTGTTTGGCTTATTTCTTACACATCCACATTCTTTTTTTAAAAAAATAGGCAAAGATAATTACAGAACAGCCATTAGAAATCAATGTATAGTTTGTACATATACTATCAAATATACTGTTGGAACCTTCAGCATATAGCATATGTCCACATTTTCTATTAAAGCAGACTGTTGCTTAGGAGAATAGAATGTGGATATTTCTTTGGTATTAAAAGTCACCATAAAACACAAACCGTTAACTGAATTTGGAATTTGAAAGCGTGTCTAATTTCAAAGACAAAAGTAAGTAATGCAAATCAATACTAATTCTTAAGGACTGATCATCAGAAAATAAATGCTAATAAACCTTCAAGTTCAAAACAATCCTTTGTCTTCAAAGAAACTGGTAGCAAAGTTCCAAACTCCGTCACAGTAGTATAAGAATTATAAAACAATAAGTATTATACAAAGTTAAATATATTTAAAATGATTGCAAAACTTTTTTTGATTCTTATATTAAATATTGTTTTTGTATACTCACTACTGCAACTCATAGATGAAATCTCATGCTTAATTACTAACCACCATTCAAATGCTGTATAGTATTTAATAAAAGCCATATTCCCTTAACAACAGTGCTACTAATATGCCAGGCACAAGTTGTGCTTACCACAAAAAGCTAATGCAGAGTCCTTCACTATAATTGAGTCGAAAAGCTTTGTTTCTAAGCAAGAGTTAGAGGTGTTAAGTGAATCATGCAGCCATTAAGTAGCTTCCCCCATTTACTTTGCTTGTTGGAAGCTGGCTGGGAAGGTTACATATGGTGATCTTATGACCTGGGAAAGGGCAATTGTCATAAATACATGCCAGCTGCCAAGTGGCTAAATTTTAATCATCTGACCCATGGGGATGTTGCGTGGTGTGAAAACCAGTCATGGATTTCACTTTTTCAGTGTCATTGTAACAGACAAATATTTGTAAATCAAGGACTATTTGTATAAAGACTCCATATTACTGTGAAACTTGGATATTTTATTATAGAGAGATTTCAGTGTAAGTTTCTGATCTAATTAACCCTGCCAATTTAATAATTTAAATTCCCAAGTACAGAAATGGTACATGCATTATGTTGGCATTTGGTATGTTCTGTCTGACCAGCGCATGTTGGAAATCCCCAGTGAAGGACATAGAAGCTGTACTTGCATAAGTCACTAAACCACACTTGCTGACCACATTTGTCTTTTAATATGTTATGGGACCAACCCAGTGGTGGGATTCAGCCAGTTTGCACCACTTCGGGAGAACCAGTTGTTAACTTTCTGAGCAGTTTGGTGAACTAATTGTTGGAAGAAATCATTCGGGCAGAGAACCGGTTGTTAAATTATTTGAATCCCACCACTGGACCAACCCATATATTGTCATGAGAATAAAGAAAACTGGGCAAGTTAACAATAGGTAAACATCCTCAAAAGCCACTGGAGTCTTCTTCTTTATGAAATGAATTAAATATAGCATTGCAGCTTAAGGAGTTACACTATTGGCATTTCTCGTTCACACATATGTTCAGATGTATGTATTTTAGATTTGATTTTCCTGTATGAGTTCAAGATTGCATAGCATTCCTTCCTCCAGTTTTTCCCCAGGACAAACACATTGTGAAGTGGGTTCAGCTCAGAGATTGTGATTGATCTAAAGTGGCTAAGGATGGCTTTGAACCTTGGCCTCCCATTTCTACTGCATGGAATACCTTAAGTACCCTACTAGACTTTAAATACTACAAATCTACTTGGTTCTTAAATTGTCATTTATTTCCTCATTAGTAAATTTCTACTTTATCGCATTTGGTATGAACGAAGAAAAGAATCTTTAGTAACTTTTAATTGCTTTTCTATGCAGTAGATTATTACTACAGCAAGAATGTGCAATCACAGTGTGGAATGTATTTCATTTTCTCTCTCCTTAAATAGGTAAATGAGAGTTGGCTGCAATTGTACACAAAATATATTATTTCAGCATGCTGGATGGCAGTGATGGCTAACCTTTTTCTAAAGGTGTGTCAAATTGTGTGTGTGTGTGTGTGCTATTGCACACGTGCGACCCCGCCCACCTGCGCATGCACGTGTGACCCACTGCCAAGGTTTTAAACTGACAAAGCTTCTGGTCAACAAGCCCAGGGATTTAACCACGTGACTAGTGTGCCCTATATTCTCAATACACTTTAGTATCAAAATGAAACAGCAAATTTTCAACCTTTTTGAAGTAAGCAAGGTCAGCAAATAAACTTCAAGGAATTTAAGTGGAGCTATGTTTAGTTGATATAAATTATAATAAAATCTTGAAGCATGGTTGTATTTTCCCTTCCCTCACTCTTTTATCCTGACAAATTAGGGTGGAAGCAGTCTTAGCTTCTTTCACATACTTCCTGTTTCTTGGGCTAGAGGTATGCTTTTGTTGTATTATCTCCAAGGTCATTGTGGTAGTTGTGGTACAAATATTGTTGTTACATTGCTAGTACTTTGTGTCTCGATGTCTTTGTGAAGGCAATACTTAAACTGGCTCCTAGAGTTGTTAATAGATGTATAAATAGTATGAACATTTTGAATATATTTCCTGTGAACAAAACCTACTGAAGCTTGAATCAAAATCAGATTTTAAAGAGACAATATTAATTCATAAATAATTTAATTTCCGTGTCTTCATTCCATGATGCAGAACTAAAGAGATGCATGTTGAAGACTGGAAATACAGGGAGGATTCCTTAAGTATTTTTATCATAATGTTGCTACATTAATGGGATTATACAGACTGGTTATTCTCCATTGTCTTTGCTTGTCAGATGGTTGCCAAAGAAGATCACATGACCCCCCCAGACGCTGCAACCGTCATAGGCATGAGTCAGTTGCCAAGCATCTGAATTCTGATCATTGACAATGCGGATGCTGCAATGGTTGTAAGTGTGAAAAATGGTCATGTCACTTTTTTCAGTGCTGTTGTAATTGTGAATGATGAATTGTTGTAAGTTGAGCACTACCTGTACTTGGTCTGGGTAGCATAGCAGAGGCATAACTGAAAAAAGTAATTTGTGACTTTGATGCTTCTTTGGGACCAACTACAAAAATAACAAGCAGCATACCTACTAAACATATTTTGAAAAATATTTCACAGAATCATTGAATTTATAGTGGGAAGAGATAATGAAGATTATATTAGTTCAATTCACAACCCAAGGCAAGAATCCTCTACTCCAGCGTCCCTACAAAATTTATTTATTAAATTACTATGTGACCCATCTCACTAATACAGTGTCTCTAGGCAGCTTACAATGTAATAAAATGTTAAAAGGTGCTAAAACAAAAAACAATTAAAATAAAAGGTTAAAAGTTAAGAACCAAGATGATGGGCAGCCTGAGGGTGAGAATCTTCTCTATCCTATCAGTCAAATGTAACAAGTCCCGATTGACCAAGGTTTTGGGCTCTTCCAGAAGGCCAGGAATATGGGGGATGGATCTCATCTGTGATGAGAGTGTATGCCAAAGGGTGGGGGACACAGGAGAAGACGGTCATTTCACTCAGTTTAAACATGATGGACAATAGGGAAAATATTTAAGGAAATATGTAAGAACTATTACTTGCAAAATAGTTGAATAGTAGAAACCAAGTAAAAACATGTTTAAGTCCAGAGAAACAAGTTAATATTTTGGAGTGGCTCAGGTAGATTCCTACCCGATTCACAGAGTATAAGGAAGGAAAAGAGAAATGGAACAATCAGATTTGCAAGGTTCCTTTATTTTAGCCAATATAGAAAAAAAATAGCTTGTCTTCTTGTGGCATTCATTTCCTGGTCTGGTCTATCCAGGTGGGCTGACAAAGACTTTTAGTATATTTATTTATTGAGGCATATATGTCATTCCAATCCAAACAGGATACTGTTAAGTGACAGACAAATCTCACCTACACAAAGACTAATTGATTTCACTGAATAACTCTTATTAGAAATATATACCTAGTGCCAAAACGTAGTTTCTTGTAATTAAAACATATTTTCTTGAGTTGTTTTCTGGATCAGTTCTGCCTCATTTCCCATATAAGATCCTTTTGGATCCTGGAAGACAGCTGTTATTACTACCTGAAGTCTTCACCAGGCTAAACATACTTGCAATTTTTTTCTTTCTAGGCCTCTTATAACCGTGCTTTGGTTTTACAGGTAGGCCTCAGGTTACTACCACTCATTTAGCAAGTGTGAAGAAATTTGTGACAAAACTAAATGAGAAGAATGTATGACCAGTCAGTTTCAGCCATTTCAGCTTCCCTGCAATCATGAGATGTTGATCTGGGTGTTTGGCTTGCAATTACAATGTCACAGCGAGTTGTGCTCACATGATCAGTTTCCGATATTCCCTATTGGTTTCCCGAAAGCAAAGTTAATAAAGGAACAGACAGGAAGCCAGAAGTTGCTATTACATAAAGTCCTCATTTAACAATGGCAACCAGGGCTATTGTTGCTAAGTGACACAGTTACATGATATTGCTAGTCATAAAGTGCAATATTGTGTGTCTGTGTCACTTAGTAGTCCCAAATGCCATCATAACCTAAGATCTATATTTATATCCCTCTACAAGCTACAATCTTAAGGGACTCTTGGCAGTTTAGGCTTAACTCTGGTCAGTTTGTCAATGCCATTTTTAAATTGTAGTCTTAATCACTGGAAACAATGAGTGCTAAATCTGGTGCTAAATAGAAAGGAAAATGACTTTTTACATTACACATCTGTTGAAGTAGCCTAGAATTGCATGTTTTTTTTTACCATTGCATCACATTCCTGACTCATGTTCAGTTTGTGATCTACCACAATATCCAGATCCTTTTTGCATTTAGCATTGCCCAACATGATTTCTCCCCTTCCCATCCTATATCTTTTCTTACTGAATCTAAGAAAAACCCCTTTTGCTCTGTAATTCTTCCTGTGAAATTTACCTTCCTGGTTTTTGCCTACTGTTTCTGCTTATAAAATCTTCCAGAATCTTCCTACTTTGCACCATTAGCTTTCATCCTTATGCTGTCTGCAAATTTTATTGCCATATTTTTAGCAGGTTAGTCTATTTATTTAAAAATATGTTGAATAGCATAAAAAGAATAACTAGAATTCAGGCCTGTCATATGCCACTCAACACTTCTTCCTTCCACCTTGATATGGGTATCCCCCCCCCATTAAGCTTTATAAAAGATAAAGGTTCCCCACGTACATATGTGCTAGTCGTTCCTAACTCTTTAAAGCTGAAAGCCAGCGCAGTCTGAAGACGTCAACATGCTGGGCATGACTAAATGCCGAAGCTGCATGGAACACGGTTACCTTCCCACCAAAGGTAGTTCCTACCGTGTTTCCCCGAAACTACGACATGTCATAAGACCATGCCATATTTTTCGGGTGGGCAAAAATATACGCCCACCCCTGAAAATAAGCCCCCTGGACAACTCCCCCCCCTCCAGCAAGGCAGAGCGCCACTTACCAACCTAGCAATATCCCTAAGGCGCCAAGACACAGGAGCCGGGGGGAGTAGGAGGGCAAAGGCACTCACATTGCTTGCTGCCTTCGTGATACTGCTAGGTTGGTGAGTGGCGCTGTGCCCAGCTAGAAAGGGGGGTTGCAGGGCGGCTGCTCGTGAGCGTGGTCACCTCATGGCTGCTGTGTTGCGCTGCTGTGACAGCTCAACACAGCTGTTTGCCTCTGAGGCTGTGCCCAGCTCTTCAGGCGCCCGCTTGCAAGAGAGAAGCCACCCGGCAACCCCAAACCAATAAGCCTCCCCCCAATAATAAGGCCCAAGTAACATTTGGGGGGGAGTGTCAAAAGAAAATAAGACCCTGTCTTATTTTCAGGGAAACACGGTATTTTTCTACTTGCATTTTTACATGCTTTCGAACTGCTAGGTTGGCAGAAGCTGGGACAAGTAACGGTTGCTCACTCCATTACATGGCACTATGGATTCGAACCACCGAACTTTCTGATCAACAAGCTCAGTGTCTTAGCCACTGCATTGCACTCAATAAGCTTTATATTTTTTCCAATAAGCTTTACATCCAGACACTGGTAGCATGATCAAGGCTGCATTTAGCATTTCATGGGAGATCTGTGCACTATCATTGAACTTTCAAACAAGCAACTCAAGGCAATGAATGCATTTAATATTCCTTCCTCTTATTTTTCCCAGAACCATCACCCTATGAGGTAAGTTATGCTGAGAGTGAGTGATTTGCCCTAGGTCACCCAGCTGGTTTTCGTGGCTAAAGCAAGACTTGAATTGGAAATGTTATTGCTTTCAAAAGTACTAACACCTACATTTTTATATTATTTATTTTCAACTTTGAAAAATGTTCAAACGTAGAATGGATAATATCTATTTATGAATAAAACAATTCCTATGTTGTGGTTTAGTTCAGGTTAAATACTGAAATTTTAAAATGGTATTTAAGCATTACATAGAGTAGGATATCTGTAAATGCTGCAATAAGAAATCAGGAGGATATCCTACAGTCCATGTGTGCATCATGGACTCTGTTATTCAAACTCCTGCTGCATAAGCAGTTCATAATCAGTACCACATAGCAAACCAAAGCAAAATCCAATTTCTATATCACCATTACAGGTCAATGTGCAACTTGTTTTTCTTTACTTATACTACTAAACACGAACAAAAAGACAAGCAAGTCATATATTTCAACGATGACATAAGTTACAATGCACATTGCAGAAAAACTGCAAAGCCCAATGTGATCACTAAGTCGGAGACTAGGGCAAAAAGAAAACAACGAAAACTCCAGTTCTTTCCTCATTCATAAAACAGTGGAAACAAACATACTGCCCAGAAGTAGTAAGACTGGGAAGAAACCAGCTTGGATTTCAAAAGGAAAATGTTTATAACATATACACCAAGGAAAAACTTTAGTTTTAATTATATATAAAGTCAGCAAGTCCCACTGAATTTAAGCAACATACAATTTAGGAATAGGAGTCTCTGAGTTTGTTTTTAAGTAAACTATGAAGTTGGCACAACCATGATTTACTGAATCAATTCTGTTGAGCTTAATTATTTACTGAACACACGAGCTGAACACACACATTTTGGATTAACATGTCTTTGGATGGTTCATGATTCCGAGTGTCGTGCGCCCACAATTTTTGAATAAGGGAACCGCGTTGCACTCTTGCGTTGTAATCTTAGGCAAGAGCATAAAACAATCCGCAAAGAACTCGGTGAGTAAAACGGAGTTAAAGGAACCTCACTATGTCGGGCCTTCTTCCCGAGGCCCGCACAATTCTCACCTGTTTGCTACTGAAACCTTTGAGGACCGCCGCCTTGTCGTACACATGGCATCTTATCACCGTGCTGCCCACGTCTATCCCCAAGATATACTTCACCTCCGGGGCAAGAGCGCAGGCCGTGGCACCGTTGGTGGCGGAGGCATTGTTGGCCGCTGGTGTGCCGCTATCGATCAGTTTCATCGGCGCCTCGCCTCTCCAAGCCCAGGCAGGCAACTTTCCGCAGAATCTAACACAAGTCTTCTCGCAATGGCTCCGGCGGAAAGTGTCAACCGACCCTTTGGGGGCCCGCCAGTAACCGCCCGTACTTCAGGGGCGGGTTTTATGAGGCGAGAAAAAGGGGGCGGAGGCTGTTCGCAGAAAAGACTCGCGCGGGGAAGCCGGAGCCAACCAGGGAAGGGAAATAGGACGAGCGAACTGTGCTGAGTCGCTCCCTTTCGCGGAGTTCCCTGGCGGCTCCCTCGATTGCTTTATTCTAATTGAACTACAGAGGCGATTGCAATCTTTGTGTTTCCGTAGGGGTGTCTGGGGGAAATAACTGAGTGGGGCGAGGGCAAGAGCTGAAGGCGGCGAGCAATTTTCCACGAAGTTGCTTGTGGAGGCAATCATAGGTTCTCCAGAGGCCGCCTACGAGTTTAAAACACAAAAACTTGTTTGGGTTTTCTAGTATACTTTGCATTCTAGGAACTGAAGCCCAAAGCCAGGTGGTTTCTTTTTGTTTCTAGGATGATGCAACCGCACAAATACGTTATTACAATTAAAAGATAGGTGCTGCGATTTTAGCCTTGTTCGGTTTTTCCACTCTTTAAAGGTAAAGGTTCCCCTCGCACATATGGGCTAGTCATTCCCGACTCTAGGTAATTCTTAAGAGTTACTTAAGAGTCATTAAAAACAACACTGCCTCTACTCGCAGATCTGCAGTGTAAAAGGAGGCGGAAACGGAAAACGAACCACTTTTCAAGGTTCCCGTCTTCCCCTGGGCGCTATTGGCACTATCGGGGGAGGGGTTGCCAGAAATGAAAGGATAGGGGATTGTATCCATTTTTCTTACTGTAGGTGATTCTGGGAGTAGGACGGAGAAGAGAGGAGGGAGGGTGATCTCTTCAGCTGCTTTTTCCTTAGGTATCAGTATATAAAGGGTGGATGGGGAGATGGCACATAGGGCTCCTTTCTCCAATTCATAGTGAGAATGGAGAAATGCCTCCATCCTCATTTCTTCCCCTTCCCCTTTCTTCAAGTGAGGACTAGCCCTGAGGATGAACCGGGGTGGGAAATTCCCTCAGGACTTCCTTAAGGTGGCTGAACTTTTTGCCGGTTCTAACCTTAGATACTTGAGGACTAAGGGCTGTTCCACACAACAGCTCTAAAATAACCAAAATTCTGCTCCAAGGAAGAAGCTGAGTGCACAAAGTCGTGGAAAAGGTTTTACTAGTTTGTGCATTGGGGATGACCAGGTTGTATACAGTAATCTTTGCATCAAATCTCAGGCAAATAGGGTCGTTCTTTTCAAATACCAGAAACTGAGAAAGCAACAAACTTCTCTCAGAAAATTTATTAGGAAAAATTAAAATGATGATGGACTGAAAGGGAAAAAAACGTTATTTAAGCTGAAAACAATTTAGGGAAGAGGGCAGTGTGTGGTTGAATCAAATGAGTTCTAGGCAGCTTTGGTTTCCTGAAGACTTTGATCCAGAGTGATTGGAATGAGACTGTTGATGTACTCCTTCCCAGGGAGGTTATGAACAGACCGTTCTGTTTATGGCAAGGGATTTGTCTTTGTTACTGATGGCCTTGGGGAGAAATAACCAAGTCTTGCCAGCCTAAGAGACAATGCCAGCCAATGTAATTGTTCAGTCATCTCTAAATTGGGAGAGGAAGATAAGAAAAGGCTTATTGGCACAAGTAGAAATAAATCACTGCTGATTTTTTATGTATTATTGAGGCAGAGATGAGAGGAAGTGGGGAGAAATTATGCTTAGTTAAATGTTTTAATGAAATACTGCATAAATTGCTTTACATGCCTGGAAATAAACATGTTTATCACTATTAGTAAACAGTGAAATCACAAGTTCTGTTGAATGTTGTATTATTTCTGATAATGTATAATAAACCATATTTATAGACCATTCAAAATGTTAAGAAGGAAACAAAAAGACCAGAACACATCCTCTCCAGTAACTAAGATTTACATAAGCAGAAAAACAAGCAAAAAGTAATACCCTAATCAACTACTAAGGAGAAAACCATACCCCACAGGGCAGGACAATCTATACTATATAGAGGGAACAAACCCCACACTCACTAGTAGTGATACTAATTAGTTGGGTAAGGACTCTAAGAACTCTATAATCCTTTCTAGTTCTTCTTTCAAAATGTTTTCCTTGGAAGCTGTATGAAAATATTTTTTTCTCATGCTACTTTATTACCATAACTTTTATATTATTAGTCTAATTGATTAGATGTGACTGCTCTGACAAACAGGGTGAGAGGCAACAGGAATGTTCCAACACGTTCACAAGATTTAATGAATGACTATGAGGGCAGCTCCATTAATCCCTTTATTAAGAAACATTAAAGCATGTAGAATATCTCGTCTTGACCATACTTGACCAACTAATCGCATTACGTTGTAAATTACTTCCTCCACCCAAGCTTTAGTTGGCGACTTAAAATGCAAAACACTAAATAATTTTAAGGACGCACATCTGCAGGTAACGAAGGTTTAACTTATGTTTAATCTACTTCTAATGCTACCTATTTCTTAATTTTAGAGTTAACAGAGTTTATAGATTAGTGGCATTTTTTTTCTCTCTCTCTCCCTTAGACTGGCAGCAGGCTTTTTTCCCAAGTGGTAAAACTTCCTTTTTTATTCCTGGAAATCATATGTGCAGGGTAGATTATATGACACATTCTATTCTTTCAGTCTTCAATATTCTCTGGATTATATTTCTCAAACCAAAAATAGTTCAGCAGTATAGGTGTTATGCTTAATGGCAAAATAGCACAATGACTTATATACTGTTTTACAGCCCTCTATAAGTGGTTAACACTGTAATTCCATTGAATGTATTTTGATTGTATTCATTATTACTGTAAATATAGTCGACATATTGCATTCTTTTAATGCACTTTATCTATTGTATATTTTCTGTAAGCCACCATGCTATTGAAACAGCATAGGATTGGTAATAAATATTGTCTAATCCAATTTAGGTTTACTAGTCTACTTTTTTAAAATTAAAATTGTATTTTCAAAATCTACAATTGTCTATGCCCGTCTAAATTGCTATTACCTCCAGTCCTTCTTTTCATGTTCCTAGATGACTTAAAAAACATTTACGTAAAATCATCTATAGCCCTTTATTCCCTCTCCAATAAGAAGCTTTCCTAATAGAACCAAACAACCTTATTAGTATTTGTATTTCTGCACAGAAGCCTAAATGTGATCAGCAGAAAGACTGTATGGTTACATGCAGGCTTCTTTGTCAGAGAAAGATTTTTCAGGATTTTCTATGGTAGCTTGTTATATATCCTCCTTAGCCATGGTGGACAGATATATTAAGAATCTGGAAGAGAGGGACTTTCCAGGAGGAGAAATAATAACAAGGATAGGAAGATATTTTTTTCTGAAATGGGGAATAAGCTCTGCCAGTCTCCCCTCCTTGACCTTAAATTTTCCCTTTTGTGCGGACTGCTGAAGGGCTTGGCGGCGTAAGGAAGCTTTACCAATGCCTTCTTGGAACAAGAGTTTCTGAAGTATAAGTCACTTGGAGAACGAGAACATGGACTCTATATTCCTCAGAAATCAACATTTTGCTCTGTAGGCATGATTGTGCTGTGCAAATCAGCAGGAAAATTTGACTAGGTTAACATTTGGAGTTAAAACCGAAATGGAATATGCCCCATATTTTAAACAGTTGCTGTAGGAGCTAGAGCTTTGAGCTATTTGTTAAAGGCTAGTTAATTGGCTGAAAGATTAGTCCTTCTAGCCAAACCAAATGATAAATGTTCTTAGCAGGAAGAAGTAAGCACTTTTAATGCTAGTTTTAAAGTTGATGCATTATTCTATTTGTAGAGGATTCAACAGATTATTAATAGATGAGTACCTACAGATATCTACAACCTGTAACTTGTATGTAACTGGAAAAATATTTTAATGTTTTATGGCACAACTAATTTAACCAAAAAAAACCCACAGCTGGGCTGGATGAATCACAAACTAGAATTAAGATTGTTGGGAGAAATATCAACCACCATGCAAATGGCAGAAAGTGAAGAGGAACTAAAGAACTTTTTGATGAAGTGAAAGAGGAGAGTGCAAAAGTTGGCATGAAACTCAACATTAAAAAATCTTAAGATCACAGCATCTGGTCTTACCTCTTCCTAGCAAATAGAAGGGGAAGAAATGGAAGCAGTGACAGATTTTATTTTATTGGGTTCCAAGATCACTGTAGACAGTGACTGCAGCCATGCAATCAAAAGGTGCTTGCTCCTTGGGAAGAAATCTATGGCAAACCTAGGCAGCATATTTAAAAGCAAAGACATTAACCTGCCAACAAAGGTGTATACAGTCAAAGCTATGGTTTTCCCAGTAGTAATGTATGGCTGTGAGAACTGGACATAAAACAGGCTGAGCACCGAACAATTGATGCTTTCGAACTGTGGTGCTAGAGAAGATTTTTGAGAGTCCCTTGGACTATAAATAGATCAAATCAGTCAATCCTAAACGAAATCAACCCTGACTGTTCTTTGGAAGATACTGAAGAGAGGACTCACTAGAAAATACCCTATGTCAGGGTTCCAAGTAATAGTAAATGTTGGGAAAGTTTGAAGACAAAAGAAGGGGGCAGCAGAGGATGAGATGATTATTTAGTGTCATTGACACAATGAATATTAATTTGTGGAAACTCCAGGAGACCGTGGAGGACAGGGGAGCCTGATAAGCTGTGGTCCGTGACGTCACGAAGAGTCAGCCACAAGTTAGTGATTGAACATAAAAAAACAATTAAAGCATTTTCCAAATTAGTAAATGAATAAAAGTTTTTCTATGCAAAATCATTTAATGCTAAGAATCTTTTATATCTTCTTTGTACCATCAAAAGCAAGGTGATGCACTGAACAATTAGAAATGCAGTTGCAATACACATTTGAATCAACTGGTCTATCTATATTTGGGTAACAAATTATTCATAGATAAATGTGAATACAGCTAATCAGATTTGACTCTTTTGGGACTGATTCAAACTTAATTTATTTGAAATTAAGATATAATAATTGTATTTTGACTAAGAATGTCATTTAAATTATACTTTTATTCTTCTTTATTTCATATTTACCCTGAATTCAGAGCTGGATTATAACTGCCTATATTAATTTTTATAGTTCAATTTTGATGATCCTAATGTCAGCATATGTAAAAAAAACCTAATACATGTTATCATTTGGCTACTAAAACCTCTTGCCAAATCATTACATTATTACATTTTAATACAAGTAGACAAAGCCAAGTCTTATATAAAATTATTGTATTAAATTTCTCCATGGTATTTCAACCATACATGTTAATCCTTCATTGTACATTGTAAATTTGCATTTTAAAATACCTTTGCACAGTATTTTATATGATATGATAGAATTCTGACATACACTCACTATACACAAAAATACACTTGATATTCATGCCAGTTTATCACGTCTCACTTGTTATGTAAACAAAGCATTTTCTAAAAAAGAAATTATAAAATCTGCACATTTTCCCTTTGAGATTTTAATAAAATACTGCTTTGTACAAGATTTGTGAAAAAATCCAGCATTTATAAAATACACTCTGAGAGGCCTTAAGCCAATTATTTATGTCTTATAACATAAAAAAACCCCCAGGGTACCTTATATGGAAACTAATACTGATCTGGCTGATTCATAAGAAAAATAAAAACAGAACAGATGTTGTGTACAGATATGAATGAAATCATTGAAAGTAAGTGGCAATTTGGATTAAAAAACAAATATAAATCGAATAGGAAAAATGCATATGTTTGCTGGTTCTAAGTCAACTTTTTCTTTAGTGGCTAACACACAATTTACAGTTTGACACAGAAAAAAAAACATTCCAGGGCCTAGAGAATGGATGTTTATATTCCTAAACATGTAAACAAAAAGAAATTTAGCCTTCAGTCACACTGGCAAAAAGTGGTTGTCATCCATGGAAATCTGTAACCAGACCATACCTATTACCAAAACCCAAATTAACAGATAGCATAATTTACTTAAACTGAGAAAAATAACAGGCTGTGGATTTAAAACAAATGCCAGCATTAAATAAGAATTCTCTGTTAACATAATTCAAGGCAAAGTATAAGTAAAGTACTGTTTGTTCAAATTGAAAGTGGCAAGTATGGCCACTTCCCATGCTGTGATGTAACAATGTACTAATTTTGCATGAAATTGTTAAATTTCATGTTAAAAAGATGTTTTTTGTCTTGAATCAACATGGACTCGGCTTGGATGCTTGTATGTGGAGATAATATATTGACAGCATTATTTGGGTATTTTCCTAGAGTGAAATTACTCCAGCATGAAAAATGTGTTATTTGAAAGTGATCACACTAATTCATATAATGCTACTGCTGCTTCCAGTAAAAAAAACAAAAACAACATTCTGAATGTTTCAAAAGTTAGTAATAAAACAGTATCCTGCTGATTCATGTTTTATTTCTCCCAAAAGACACTGAAGGTGAACAATGAAACAAAAATAAAAAGACTTGTGGTGTATCCAAGAATGAGTTAAGACTCTCAATTATTTCTTTTTAGGAAATCATATGAATTTTTATCCTATAAAAAAACAACTGTTCCAAATTTTAAATAGTTCATATTCATAAATAAGGATAGGTTCAAAGCTCATGTTGTATGCCACATCCAAGTGTGTGGGATTATTGAGCAACGTGCAGAGATAATTTTTGCGTTCAGGATAACCAGATCAATAAATGTGTACCTTATTTGCTGGAACATGGTGCCATTTAGTAAAAGACATTTAACTAAACCATTGACAACCATTCATGACTGTTTAAAGATATGATGGCGCTGAATCAAGAGACTTACAACCTATGCCTGGGTGAAACGACCCTTCTTAGGTCTGCTGGAAAAGGTGCAAGGAGGAGTGGCAGTGGCAGTGACAGGAGAACAATGCTGAAGGCATGCAGTGATGCCGTGCTCAATGGCTGCTGCAATGATGTCAGCCATATCGTCAGGATTAATGGTGACAGTCCTGGGAGCAGGGGAACCCACATCAATATCGGGGGTGATGCTGCTATCCCCATCAGAATCTGATTCCCCCTGAAATCCAATCCCCTCCTCAGGGTCCAAAGGAGAAGCTGGGGGGGGGGGAGGCATCCCCATCAGTATCAGTGGAAAGGTCCTCCATAGGGTTGAAATTAATTGGAGGATTAATTTCCCTCTTTGGGACCGCTTTTAGTTTTTTTATGATGGGAACATAAAGCTCAGCTTTGCTGAGAAGCTTTTTGTAAAGGGATTGCCTTGAACTCCTCTCCCCCCCAACAGAAGTGCTGCCTAGCCAAGCAGCCAGATTAGGCATACCTTGTTGGCAGTGGGAGCAAGGAAAGGGTGAAGGCCGGGTGGGGGGGGGGAGAGAAGAGGGGTTGCAGAGGACAGTGTGGCAGGGATCTCCTAGTGCAGGGTGGTAAGGTTAATTAGGACTGGGCTGAGCTTCTCATGGCGTGTCACACAGCCTCACAGTCATGCTGTTGTGGGGGTTGCTTGCTGCTCCACAAGGCAGAGTGCAGGGCAGTCAAAGGGCAGGGATTGGGTGTGAGATAGATAGGAGGGGGGAACTGGAGGCAGTCCCTTACCTTAGTGAGACTTTGGCTGGAAGGGACAAAGCCTGGGATGGTTTGGATTAGGATGGGTACTCGCTTAATGATTCACAATTCTTAGTTAATGACAGAACGAGGACTACTGGGATTGCAGTCATTAGGCAATGTAATCAATAACATCTTACTTTATGAGCACATCACTTAGTGACAGAAATTCTGGTCCTAATTGTCGTATGTTCAAGACTACCTGTACAATAATTTTAGGATATGTTTAAGTTCTTAAATTGCTTTGGTATAATTCCTAGATATAATTTTATGTAAAGTTGGCAGTGCCACAATAGTTAAAATCTATTCATGCTGTATCAATTAAAAGAATCTGAAATATAGAAATAAAATAATGGTTACATATAAATAGTTTGTAGAAGTTATGTCATCTTTAAAAATGAGACAAATCATCAGGAATAATTCTTTCAGACTCACTTCCAGTTTTAAAAAAGCAATTCTAGCAGTATCAATATTATTGCTACTCTCTTGTGTTAATGTTTAAAATCCATTTTTAAAAATATTTAGGCAAGACGGCTAGTGTAACCACTTAATTTAAAAGTTTCTGGATTTTATCAACTAAATAAAGTTTTTTAATGAGCATAATTAGTATTAAAATAATGTGACTGGCAGAAAAATACTAATTAAAAGCATAATTTGGATTAGAATTAAAATTTAAAATTGTATTTATTCGTATAATACAATAGAAAGGTAAGCATTCTGTGTACCATACTTATTCTAAAGATTTCGATGCACCAAAATTGACAGCCAATTTTCTGGGTTTTCGTTTGGTGGAAACATTTTGTGTTGACTTTTTATGAGATACCCTTGAATTTGGAGATGCTTTTTCTTGAAAAGATGCTGCAGACGGAACAGTCTGAGAGGGTCTTAAAGGATCTGAAGAAGTATCTGGAGAATTCAGTTTTGTGGTGTCAGATATTAACTGATCGTTTTTTAACTCTGCATCCTGAAGAGAAGCTTGGAACTCCTTAGACTCAAAATTTATTTTGTTTGCAGCTGTTTTTTTAGTTACCTAAAAACAAAACAATAACCTGAATTACTTTTCCAAAAACAGAGAATGTATTTATATATGCATTCTATCTGCTGTCAAACTTACCTGCAAAGGTATAAATTGGTTATGTGTACCAACTGGTATAGTTGCAGGATATGCATGTCCAGGATATGGACCAGTGTAATAAGATTTGTTGTGAACTGGCATTGGTGGTCCCCACTGAACTGAACCAAAGGCAGGAAATGATGAAGGAAATATATTAGCTGTGAAAAGAATTGAATACAGATATATTAAATAAAAACTATTTTTATTTAAACTGTTTTTAGTGGGTTGGTTTGCAACAATACCCACTAAATAAATTTGGTAACTTCAAGATCTAAACTGATGTTACTGCAGCAGAGCCCCTATAATCTCTTATATTTTACTTTGTAAATTAGAGAGCAAGAGGCACAATTCAAGGAACGTAATGAGTTTTTTAATATATTAATCAATTGATTACTTTTTATTATACAACTTGTCACCCTACAATTAACTTTTTGCAACTTTTACACCTATTTCATCAATATTTGCACTTGTTCATGTTAAAGAGAGTGCAAAATAACTGTTTTTCTATCTAGGCCTCCATTCAATTAAGTATAATCAGTTAAGGGCATGAGGAGAGCTACTGCTGCTTTTCTTTTTTTCTCATGCCCCAGTCTTAAATAAAAAGAATAAATAAATTCTTGCCAGAGCACTTGCAAAAGACTAGGACTATGTGATACTTGGATCATATGAACCATATGGACAGCAAGTGTCTAGAGAAAAAAATAGATTTTATATTTAACTTTTTTGTATGGAAAAGATTTCACATCCCGAACCTTTCTGAAAAAAATAAAAGATAACATTTAGCAAATTTACCAGTCTGCTGTTGACTGAAAACTGGAGGGATAGCTCTAGGTGCCATAAGATTTCCCAGTGGCTGATAATTTGCAAATATTGGTGGGGGTGGCAATGGTTGCTGTGGTGGCAGGGGAAAATTCATCCCAACAGTGCTCTGTATGAAAAAGACAATGTTTTCAGCGTTAGAAAATAGAAGCATTATAGTTAAAAATTCAATGCAATGCAATAGTTTAAGAACATGGTCTCACCAACTGTTGTAAAGCAAAAATTGCTGCTTTCTCCTTGGCCTCATTTTGAGAATGGCACTGAGGTCCATGCACTAATAAGCCATTGGATAACTTCACCTGACAAACTGTCATTGTCTATAGAATAGAAGCATATAATGTGAATAAATACCTTTTTGCTTCACATCGCAAACAAAAATAGTAAAGCACTTATATTTTAGAACTGTGATAGGGTCCTAAAACTCTCCTAAACAGAAGCAGGATGCAATATACCATTAGATCTAGCAAAGAAGGCAGGTACCATCTGCTAGGGACTTACATTTTAGTGGATCCCAGGAGGCAAACCTTTTCTGTTGTGGTGCCGCCTTAGGGAAAATTCTCCCTTGCCCCATCCCACCCTCCAATCATGTTAGTTCCATCCCTATTAATGTTCTGGGAGTCCTTTAAGACCTGGTTATGTCACCAGGCCATTTTTGTGTGTGTATGTGGGGGGGGGGGGTTGTCCCAGAAATGAGATATGCTCCTATGGCTCCACTATTGTGGTTATTATAGTCATTCTCTCCATGACTTAAGGTTTCTATAGTTGTAATATAATAATATTTTAATTTTTAACAATGATTTTTATATTTTTATAATGACTGCTTTTATATATTTGTTGTTTTATAACAGAATAACAGAGTTGGAAGGGATCTTGGAGGTCATCTAGTCCAGCTCCCTTCATGAGCAAAGCTTCCCTTCATTTGCATTCCCTCCTACATAATCTAAATTTTATCTTGTAAGCCTTCTAAAGTCACTGACAGGGCAGCCAGATATGCTTTTTAAAATAAATAAGTAAAATTTAAATTTGCCGTGGGGAAAATACTAGCAAATTATTTAAGTTCCTGCTTGTGCCTCCAAAACTGTTTACCATTATATCCACTGCTATTTGTTCATTAACGAAGTGATTTAGATCTTCCCTGATGGAAGAGAGTGAATGAATGAATGTTTTTATTTATGCTTTTTAATACCGTATATACTCGAGTATAAGCCGACCCGAATATAAGCCGAGGCACCCAATTTTACCCCAAAAAGCTGGAAAAGTTATTGACTCGAGTATAAGCCTAGGGTGGGAAATGCAGCAGATACCGGTAAATTTCAAAAATAAAAAATCAGTGTTATTTGAAACT